GTGATCAAGCCTACAACCCGGGCATGTGCCATGACCAAGAATTGAACCCTGACGTCCTGGTTCATAGGTCGATGCTCAAGCAATGAGCCACGCCAGCTGGGCAGGAGAGGGAAGGTCATGGTCCCAGGTCATGGCTTTGGTGCCCCTTCAGGAGCCCTCCTCCAGGAACAGGTGCTGTGCTGGTCCCTCAGGCTGAGGGGTGACGGGCCCTCACCGTGTGTGCCTGCTCCCTGCATTGACGTCCGCTCTGTTGTAAGAAAAGCAGGGCCTCTGGTTGCTGTGTCCCTGTCGCCTCCCCAGGCAGATGCTTACCTGTTCCCTGGAGCCTTGCTGGACTCCCACCCGTGGGCCCACGAGGGTCGGTGCTCCTGGCTTCAGTGGACGTTACCTGTGAACCGGTGGCCAGGAATGACCAACACGGCCTGCCGGCTCTGCTTACGCGGGTCCATGGCCCATCAGACTCCCCATAAGAAACGTGCAGTTAAGGATTTCAGACGGGTCAGGGGAGGGTTAGATCCTTGGACCCAGGTACAAGGCCAGGCACCAGAAGCTGCTGCGAGGTGGGTGTCGCACACACTGTGAGGTGAGGTGCACCCAGCAGCTCTCAGGAGGGTGGCGAGGGCCTGTGTCCTGGTCACAGTGCCGCCTGCCCAGGCTCAGTGGGAGGGGGTGGCGGGGGGGAGGCGCATGCCTGACGCCACGCCTCCTGCTCAGGCAGCCGAGTCCACACAGAACAGTGGGGCTGCTCGAGCTCTGAACTGGCTCCCGGGCCCCACTCCCTCTGCCTCCCTTGTCCACCTCAAGGCCTGGCACACGCTGTTCACTGAGAGATGCGCGTTTTAGCCACCTGAGCCAGAGGCGCTGGTGCTGACCCCACTCTGAATGACACTCCAAAGGCTGGGTCACCCTCCCACTTCATAGATTGGAAAGAGGTAGAGACGTTGGGGGTCTTGCCTTAGGTCACACAGTAGTGAGGGCAGAGCTGAGACTCAAACCCTTGTGGACAGACCTGGCGCCCACGTGCTGTGCCCCAGGCGAGATGCCAACGCTACACAGGCAGCAAGAAGGGTGAGGGCGACCAGTGCCCAGACTGAGGCAGCACAGGTGTGTGCACTGGCATACGGGCACACACGCACACGCGCACACGCCCTCCCTGGTTTTCACCTCTGAGGCTACAGAGGTTGGAGGAATCAGGGGAGGAGCCAGGAGAAGCCAAGGGGTTGCTCGGGGGCTATTCCCCTTCCTGGTGAGTCTGTCTCAATCCCTCTCCCTGGCAGGAACCTCACTGGACTGACACCAGATTCCGCCTTCCCGGGTTCAGGTCTGTGGCTGAGGGTTCTCTGAGGCCCTCACGGAACTCTGCTTTCAGTGATGAGGATGAGGCATGTCGGCTTCAGGTTTGTCTGGACACAAACTTTATTAAAACGAGGCCAAAAAAACACCCATGGGGGACATTGTTGTTGACATCCCCATAGCACTTAAGGAACTGTTTGTCTATTGCCTCTCCTCTTGAAAGTGGAGGATGTTTGACCAGTTACTTCTGAACTAATTACACTCTTGGGGAGGGAAGGGGCCAGCAGGCTTGCTCTGAAGCCCCCTCAGAGCTGGGGTATGAGGTATGTGGTGCCTACACTTGCCCTGTGGCTGCTGAGGTGCAATTTAGGGCTCATGACTCATCCTTCCTACAAGCACCAGGCTTCTCCCCTGAGTGTGTCCTCTGGTGTGTGATGAGATTTAACTTTGTTGTAAAGCCTCGCCCACACTCCCTGCACACATAGGGCTTCTCCCCTGAGTGTGTCCTCTGGTGTGTGATGAGATTTAACTTTGTTGTAAAGCCTCGCCCACACTCCCTGCACACATAGGGCTTCTCCCCTGAGTGTGTCCTCTGGTGTGTGATGAGATTTAACTTTGTTGTAAAGCCTCGCCCACACTCCCTGCACACATAGGGCTTCTCCCCTGAGTGTGTCCTCTGGTGTGTGATGAGATTTAACTTTGTTGTAAAGCCTCGCCCACACTCCCTGCACACATAGGGCTTCTCCCCTGAGTGTGTCCTCTGGTGTGTGATGAGATTGGACTTATTTCTAAAGCCTCGCCCACACTCCCTGCACACATAGGGCTTCTCCCCTGAGTGTGTCCTCTGGTGTCTGATGAGATTGGACTTATATCTAAAGCCTCGCCCACACTCCCTACACACATAGGGCTTCTCCCCTGAGTGTGTCCTCTGGTGTCTGATGAGAGATGACTTATCTGTAAAGCCTCGCCCACACTCCCTGCAAACATAGGGCTTCTCCCCTGAGTGTGTCCTTTGGTGTCTGATGAGATTAGACTTCATTGTAAAGCCTTTCCCACACTCCCTGCAAACATATGGCATCTCCCCTGAGTGTGTCCTCTGGTGTCTGATGAGAGATGACTTATCTGGAAAGCCTTGCCCACAATTCCTGCACACATAGGGATTCTCCTGTGAGTGTGTCCTCTGGTGTCTGATGAGATCTGACTTATGTGTAAAGCCTTTCCCACACTCCCTGCACACATAGGGCTTCTCCCCTGAGAGTGTCCTCTGGTGTGTGTCGATATCTGACCAATCATTGAAGCCTTGCCCACACCCTCCATGCTTGATTGTTACAATTTTTGACATTTTTACTCCCACAGATAATTTGCCTGGATTAACATTCTGGCCTGTGCTGGGCTCTTCCTCCATTATTCTCTCACACTCACTGGAGCTCCCTGTTTGTCCGTTGGGAGCCTTAAAAGAGGCCCTTGAAGTTCTCCTCTGCCTGAACCTTTTAAACAAAGGTTTAGATGTTCCTTTGATCTCTTGATCTTCAGCTTTGTCATTCCAGCCATGTGGACCAG